GGGGTAATCATGCCCCGAGTCCGAACAGTGCATATGCCTGACTGATGAGATTTAGCCAGATCGAATTTCGAGTGCGATAATTCTCATGTGTATTTGATTGACCCGATCTATCTACGATCGAGAGATTCTTAGTCAAAATGAAATCAGTTAGAACTGTGTGTCATGTGTTCCGCGCATGATATTCGGACAACAATGGCTTTTGCAAAGTCAGACAAATGTCGTGTCAATTATCACACTGGGATGGTGATAGACCAAGTAAAATAAGACTGAACTGGATGAAAATTTTCAAAAAATACCTCAACTTGAAAATTATCAATCGAATACTTCCACAGAACTTAAAGTGGTGGATTTCATATGTGCACGCTCGTTACACTTCTCTAATGTCTGTACAGTAGTGGCCGATTGTGATGCACTAAAATATTTTCTTTATGGTCAAATGGAGTTTCATTATATTTATCACCCATAACAATACTTTAGGTACGGACAATAATTTATATCTTATCTACTTCAATCTATGTAGTTTCTAGTCTGCATAAGTGTCAATTTAACAGGTCTGACCATGAGTTTCAAGATTAAATGATCTGAACATGAAAACTACAAACTTTATCAAGTGTGAAAACGCAATATTTTCTAATAGGAATGACTCAAGAATTATCCCAAACTAAACCCTTGCCAACTCGGTTATTTCTTATGAGGCATTATTGTATCTAATATATAATCCATTATAGCAACTTTGTTGGAAAGCTCACAAAATCATCATTTGTGGTGAGAATTTCCCAAAATAACTTATTTCACCGAATGAAAAAGTTTCTCGCCCGTTGAGATTACTCATCTGAGCAGGGGTAAAACATTGTCGGCCTTGTCAGTGAACAGCAGTCAAATGAACAGAGAATGAATAGTAAGAAATTTTCCATAGTCAATGTGAAATAAGCCGAATGAAAGTTGCATGTGTCAACAATTGGACGGAACAGGTGCCCGTTATCATTTCAAGTTTGGGGACGTGAGATCCTAAAACGCAACACATTTAATTTGAAAAGGACACAAAAGGTACGCGCGCTGCTGACGAGTCCTGAACGGGACGAGACAGCTGTCCAGTGCTTTTTGTCGGTTATCAAAAACATTATCATCGCATTCGTATGCATTCACCTCATGGGGAAGCAACGATCTCCCAAGGAGTGAAACCTAAAACCAAGACCATCAAGGTTGCCTGACGCTTCTGAACAATCCAATGGGCTAATCCGATAAACGTTTTAAATAGATCTGGCAAATCGAGAGAAGTCCCAAGAAATCTCGGATAGATTTGTCCAAGCAACCTTCCGGCACAACCTGTCCTACGTGTCTAGGTCAAACTTGGTATTCTCTTGCCAACGCCATTCATGAAAGAAATTTCTAGCTATCCCGAAACACTGTTCCTCTCCCAATCAAATATGACACAATGTATGTTCATTGATACCGACATGGTGTCGCGAAATATACATGTCTCTGTTTTCCAGCTATTGACACATACGAACGGTTTATTTTAGTTGATTCATAGTGATTCTCTTATTCTGTTTAATGCTTGATGAGCGCGCAGTCTTATTCTCTGGTATATGAAGAACATTCCTTCCAGAAGTTTCACCGACTACCTGCCTGTTGCAGAGGTTGGTTGGATTTGAATTGTGTTCAACCAATACGGAATTTACAAACGTGAAGTACGGTAGTAGTATCAGCTGGACCGGTAATTGAAAATAATGAAGAAACCAAATTGAACTACTCGTGAGTAACTGCGCGCGAAAATGTAAAAACGTACGAATCTGTCACTTCGATCATTGCCTCCATCTGTTGCTATTTAGGCTAAAACTGACCTGCAAACAATCCGGAGTTCAAATCCTGCGCGTGTCTTTTGGACAATCAGTAACAAAGGTTAAATTTCTAATTTGATTTTGTCCACGTGTATGGTTAATTGGGTGAACTAAAATTGAGATTTGAACGATGGTCAATCGAGGCGAATTGAAGGACATCATTGTGAACAATAATGTGAAGCCAATTTCCATACTTATTGTTTTGATGCTAATTTAAAAATATCTATAAGCGTGAGGAGTTAGGCATTATATCCCAGATGAATAGAAGTGGTAAAAAAAAAGCACCGAAAGGCCCGACACTGTATCAGCAGAAGGAGGTCTACATCAGTCTGGCGTTGCCCTAATGACCAAGTAAGCGGAAGAATGAACGAATACCGTGTGATATACAAACTATTTTGTATACTGCAGCAATCATCAACTGAAATGCAGCGAAATGATTCCGGAATCACATTGTGCTCGCTTGCAGTGTGTTGTATTCTTTGTTGAAAAAATATCTTCATTTGTGAGAAAAATCATTCGTGATTCCAGACAAAAAAATCGGGTTGAAATGTTCATTTCGCTTTATTGCCAAGCAGTTGACCATTAAGGAATGTGTTTCACAAATCCCCCGAATAGGTTTTGCTAGTTCACTATAACTAAAGGATTTACATCAAAACACTGATATCAGAACTTACCGAGGATTCGATGAATACATGCTCAAATGATCTTTTATGATGTCATTGCGGCTACGTTAGAAAAAAAACGGTTAAAATTCTACAAGTTTGTCAGGGAAATGCAGAGAAACAATAGCTTTAAACTGCCGTTGTGCGTGCGTTTAAAGAGTGCCGTTCGGCATTTCTGATTGGTCAACACCGACCGAACGCACCGGAAGGATATACAGACTAAAAACTGCGTAGAACGAATTAGACAAGATATAAATTATTGTTCATATCTAAAGCAATAATACAGGTGATAAATATAATGAAACTCCATGTGATCATTAAAAAAAGCATTTCAGTGCATCACAATCGGCCAGTACTGTACACCGATTCCGGCTCTGGGATACTCCCGAATACACGTTTTCCGTGCCTAATATTCTATCTTGGATCTTTTTTGTCTGTATTCTTTCTTAGTCTCGAAAATTGCGGTGGCAGAATATTTTTTACCATGAAAATAAGTTACTCTAGAATGTTTGTTTGGATTCGAACAAACATCCAAAGGATGGGTTCATGACGTTCAAACCGCTGATAGTTCTATCCCTGACTGACCCAACGATGACGTTTATCGAATGCCAGTGCCACTGTACTCAAGATGAGTAAACCTGCACATGTCTACAAAGATGTTTTGCACTATGTGGTAGATGGAACGGCCATTTTGGAGTTGATACCAACTGATCCCATGCAACATGCTTGAATTATTACTGTCCATGTAATTCTTGATACACATTTCCACGGCGGCATTAGATGAAGAATATTCGAAAGCAGTGAAACGAATTGTCGATGGATTTCTAGCATAGTTAATAAATATTTCGTTTTACTTTAACTCACAACGTGAAGGTAGTTTCACAGCTAAGAGTACGTAACGGGATTATGTTTCACAATGTACCCACCTCTCTGGCATGCAAAGATTAGGTCTCAACAGGCGATAAGTTGAAGAAACGGAACTAATTAATGTCTAAGAAACCGCACAGCACTGACTGGTTACATGACATGTGTCAGTCCTCTTCATCGAACAGCCTACTTGATTAGATGTAGTTCATTGTGTTTTCTGCAGCATAGTTCCCGTGTCTCTTGCAAATCTCTTTCTTTTTGTTAGCTACCGGCAAAGGGTACTAGTCCGTTAACCGATTATCACACTGGTGCGAATCACTGCCCTGTTTCTGACACACAATGCATATAGTATCATGACAATCATGAGACTTCTGTGTCTCTAGCAACACTCTTGAATAGGCTCTAGCAATAGCCAACTAATTTCATGGGCTGTCACCAGCGTACTTTAAACTTTACGGTCCCAATTTCCAAACCCACCGTAGATATCTAATTTCGATGGTAGACAGTTTTTCTTTCGTTCAACTCAATATCATGCTTACCTATCCTGTTTGGACATTGTTTTATTTTTACTACCCCAACATCTTGGACTTCGGAAGCTCGTCTTCGTAATCGAACAATGGGTATTCATTAGCAGGATACACATAGACGGCGACGCGGTCGTAGTTCTGGTGTCATTCTCAAGCGCCGAAATACACCAATCATGGATCTTATGCCTGCCGAACACACCCCACTAGTGCGACTATCGTCAGTATGTATGCCCGTCACAAAATATGAATCAAGCACAAAGAGAGTAGATTTGTTTAACTGTAGTGTTGCATTGTAACCGAATGTGAAACGTCACAAGACATAGCAGCATGATTTGAATCGATTAACTTTGCCAACTTGTAAGAACAGCAACCAGACAGTGCGCCTCATCACGACCAAACATAAAAGAACAAAGAGATCGAGTTTTTTGGGGGGAAAAAATTCGTGAAACAAATTTGAACAGAAATTAAAAATAGAGTGGTCACTGTTCCTGAGGCCAGGAACTGTGGTTAGTCCGTACGAACTAGTTTGAACAAAGATAGAAATGAACAAAAGCAAGTTTGACAATCCCACGAACATTTCTGACTCGTTGGATTTCCGGATGGGGACCGGAAAACAGAGAGAGAGAGAAAGAAAATGAGGGGAAAAAATTTGTTAGATACAAAACCGCACAAACAGGGCGGAAAACCATACACACACACACATACTGAGAAACAGCACATTTGTGTAGTGTCAGAACTGACACAGGTACGTGATAAAGTGTCAGAAGACAGATTATTTTTGTTTTCGTTATTCTGAATATCATTGCTTGCTGTTGTGGTTGATGTTGGCGGTGTTTTGTTGCTGGTAGCGACCTGAAGCCAGTAGCCCACATAACAAAATAAACGAAAACAATGCTAACATCAAGGTACACGTATTGATCTCTCTCCCGCCCTGCCCAGCCCCGCCTCCCACATCGGCCACAACCTGCCTCGATAGTCTTATGTGTGTGTGTGTGTTTGTGTTCATTTGTCTGCGATGTGGCCCACAAAAACATGCAACCGATGATCTCTTTGTCAGTCCAATTTTGTCAACTGTTTTTTTGCCGACAGCATTGTGTACAGAGCTAGCTCGGGGGTGAGGCGGACTCGCAAGATAGTTGACTGGTAAACGTAGGTCCTTTCGGTTTCAGTCCGTTTTTCATGACCGATTCGCTCCAATCGCTCACATCGTCCTCAGTGGATCCTTCCAGCTCGCTACGTTGCTTTATACGGGCTCGTCGACGTTCGTAGCTGCTGTTCATCAGATAGGCTCGACGACGTTTGTACGAAGGGTAGGGATACATGTGGATGGATGTGTTTGAACTGCTCTGAGAGAATATTTTCGAACCTGAATTGAGGTGGGTGGTGAAGACAGGGTTGGTAAAGAAGAGCACTGATAGTTTACGCGCGAATGAGATTTTCTAATTTATACGGGATATATTATACTACTGTCAACTGCGCTAGTAGCATATGATCACATCTCTATAATTTCTAAAATGTGGTAAAAACAGATGGTGCGTGGGGATGGCGTCTGAAGGATGATCAGTCCAAATCAACACTGCAAACCTCGTTTAAATTACCAGCTGAAGTCAGTGGAGAGGGAATGGTAAAGTTGAAAAGCAAGTCTGTCATGGGAATAGTAGAACTCAAAGCGTGCTTTGATTTAAGAATATGGTAAGGTAGTGTGGAAAGGAGTGTGATCTTACCAAAAAAACAGAAGTATGGATATGGGAACAAGAGGAGTAGGAGAAGGTATCAGGTTACCATGGTGACCCCAGAATACCTTACTCCCGGAATCCGACTGACGCCGATTGTTCTCAATTCGAATAGATATTTGAAAAATCTGAACGTGTATTTGGGACACGTGACTGGATTAGGACCAGGATTAGCATTGGTTGAAAAGCTCTGTTTGGAAAGTGAAAGAAACGGTTTAAGTCTGGACCATATCATCTTCCAGAGAGATAATCTGTCAGCCTCTCCGGCAAGGAAGACGAGTATTGAACAGTCTCAAGTGTTTTCGAAATCAAGGGATCTATGATAGAGGGCAAAACCGAGCAGTCATCTAGAAAAATTTGTTGCACAGATTCTGCAGACTTGTTCAGTTATTTATTGATGTTATGTTTCAGGGAATCAACGGCATCTGAGGTGCATTGGTTGAGTTTAAAGGCCGACTGCATGAGATCGTGTGATTTCAGTAGGGAAACGATGGAACAAAAGGGAAAAGGCGTTCATAAACAGGATTCAATTTGAAAAATAATGATCTTAACGGATATTTAACCGTCGAAATCAGAGCTCTCCTCATTCGAAAAAGGTTAAGGGAGGAATATTTAAAGGTCTTCTGGGGATCCATGTGCCTCAATAGGTTACATTATTGTAAACGTCTTGTCCAATTGCTCTAAAATCCAGTTTATGTTACCTAACATTTGTTGAAAGTTTCCATTTTCTGTGGCAAACGAAAAGACAGGTATTGATCGAAATCGCGCAAAATGACTCCAAATTTAGTTATACATTTTAGTTTTTAGTATCATACATGTATATCGATGGTCACGGATGAGGAGTATTCGTTCCAAACTTTATCTCCCACTAACTTTTTCTTAGTTCTCTTATATCACCGTTTAAGTTGGAGGTGACCTTGGATATCACGAGAAAATTCGTGTTAGTTCGAAATTTATAGATTGGATTTGAGAAACATTTTGTGCAGAGCAGTACGAAAGTTTACTCTTTCTACCAAATGATCGCTGCTTGTCTTTTTCATTCGATGCACAGTAAATGAACTGATTGATAAAATATTCTGTCTTAAATAAATTGATAAATTATGTGGCGACAAAATACATAGCTACGTAAAATCCCTCATTCTGAAGGGACCAAAAAATAGGTTCCGACGAAATATAGAAGTCGACCTTCAAAATTTGCCCTTGAGATGTGTGGCACGTTGAATAAGCGTTTTGTAGTGTCACCAAGACAAAATCGCATGAAACATCCAAGAGTTTTTGGCATGCAGTTGAAGCCGAGAGGTGAATTATTCAAAGGCTTCATACATCCGATTACTCGGTTCCTAACTAATGCAAGTGCTTGGAAGTGAAACGGTATGCGTTGGGTGTATATATGTATATGTATATAACAAGTGGACGGAAACTGCAATTTCAACGGTCACTTGAGTAATGAATGAGAAAATGTTAATAACTCCACGCGGATTCGTGGGATCTCATTGATATGGCCGATCCGGATGATTGGATAGCAAGCAACAGGTGAAGATATATTTTTACTTAGTTTGTCAAATTTGTTTTTAAACGCGATTTAATTCTGTCCAGACAGGGGAACAGCCGTGAACACAGGTACGTACAACTTAAAGAAAGTGTAAATAGATACACCTGGTAACGAGTAAACTGTGGTAGGTGTTTTAGCCTGGACAGAGAAATGTGTGTATGTTTGTGTGTGTGTGTGTGTGTGTAGGTTCGAATCCCACCTACGTCTATCATTGACTCCCAGATGGGAATACAGAAAAAAGTGAAATCGTGTTGACTTATTTTTATTGCAACAATGAAACTACACTACTACTAACTATGGAACAGTATATGTGTACATGCTTTTCAGGAATTACACCTGTTTTATTTTACGTGTTGCTTTTTGCTATCACTGTAAATGTGAAAAGTCCTCGAATTGATGAGATCTACATTGGGAATTATACAAGGATTGGCCAGGGTCAGGATTAATGTCGCGATACAGTTTAGAACACTATAAACTTTGCTACCCACAAGGAAGGAAGAGTCAGTTGAACAATTCATACATATATCTGTTTACCAAATGGAGTGGATCAATAACCTATATCGCACACCTTTTCTCCGATGATAGCCCATTCGTGAGATGAATACATCCGTTAGATTACAAGATGGACGATGGTGATCTAATAGGAGTTTCCGTTCTTATCTGACTGTAATAAATAGCGTAAGAAATACAAACAAATAGGAACGATAAGAACAAACCGCAGAATTAAAACCTCCTTTTTGTGCCACCGTCGACCCGAAGAGGTTTATTGCTGTGTCCGATAAGTAATCCTCAGACTGGTGTATTTTGACCGCAGCTATTTTTCAAAGCCAAAGTCTGATAACAGAAGTAACGACCACGATATGGGGGGGGGGCAATTTCTGTCTTTCCATACACAGTTGAGTGATTCTCGGACGAGTGACTTCGGATGTGCCCATACATTGTGTGTGTGTGTGTGCTGGTGTTAGGGATGGATGAGGCCCTAATCAAATTTTGTGAAATAACCTGTACGGGAGATGATGCTCATCGGTATTCCACTACGTGTTTTTGACCACTTTGATTGTATGTGGAGAGAGAGAGAGATAGATGAGGATAAGAGACTTGTTGTTTTCAGCTGATTAACCGATATGGGAAAGTTAAAAACGCAACAAAATTCCTAAAAGTTGGAAATAACAATAATATGAAGGGGTTTTTCGACCAAGCAGATGACTGGGTTTATCAAGCTGTGTAACTTAATCCATTTGACAGTGTACCAGAGTCGATTGACCGGACACTCATCCAAGCATCGTTTTATTATCATATACACGATAGGCTTTACACAAAGATCTGGCATGAGATAGTCCAGTTCATCCGTGTGCTATCAGCCCTGCATGCACATGAATGGTGTACTGGTTCCGGGAACTTTACATATGGATTAGGCAGTTTCCCATCAAACACACATGTGCAGTCTGTTTGGATCAGCAACCAGTCAGCTAATTGAAACCTTCGCTCCAACTTGATCTCTGCAAATGGCGATGCATTATGGATCGTGTGACACGTTCCTCATAAATAATTGTGCAATCATTGAATCTGATACCAAACGGACTAAGCTACCGATTGTCGTTCACCACGATAAGAATTTGAGTAACGAATTGACCTACCGGAAAAGCATATACTCAAAATCTGGCTCAATAAGGCAGTCATGGTGAGTAGACTGGAATGTAAAGGCCATGAATGCGGTCACGTTTGCAACTGAACCGCATTTTTCAAAATTGTGCATACAAACATACGCGCACAATCACAAAAATATCACATGATCATGAGGAAATACAATCGAACTGGTTGGGTAGGTGTTTTCTTCATTGGGTATTTGAAGTTTGGACCCGAATCACATATGAAAAATGTCACCAGAACGCGTTTTAGAAAACAGTCGGCGAAGTGTGAACGAACTGGCAGAACGGCAAGCAAAATGGATCGTTCAAATACAGTGAGACAGTCGGCTGCAGTCAGCTAGTCAGTCCGTCAGTCAATCGGGCAGTCACCCAGCTTTAGTCATTCAATTTTTCATTAATTCGATGGCTCGATCAATATTTCTTTCATTTTCGCTTCCTCCGTCCGTACAGATAACCGGAATGCTCTCGCTTCAAGATTTAGGGGTTGGCTTGTGGTTTGGGTGATCGATGTCTGCTGCAAATTCAAATACAGTTTACATGCCTCGCCATATTCTCCCGGGATCACCGAAGGCAGTATGAGTAAGCGTTCAACCTTCAATTACCTCAGCTGTGGGCGTATGACGCTGAAGCTTTCCGCGAGGTGATGACGGGGTTTTGACGAATGCATGACTCAAATGACACCGGAATCTTTTGATCAACCTCCTGTTTCCTCCAATTGCCATTCCCTTCGCGCTGTAATCAGTCATACACATTGTAGTTTTGAAGAACCAAAAATACAAAGTAAGCACTAAAATTACAGAGTCTACTTTCATCACCATAAAATGTATACATTTAATTTTCTTTTCTTTGAATGACCAAATTATAAGGATGCTCTCTCTGGCCGTGGCAATAAAGCTAGATAACCCCACGATTCCTGCGCCATTTCCGGATGTCAGGTGATGGTCTGGTTTTGATGGTGTATGTTTTGGTCTCAATCCACCGGGTGTTTAAGGCCTCCACGTTTCACATCACTTACCATGTTGATGAAGTATCATTTCATCCTATCCGAATTCAAACGATCAATCAAGGACGGAGCAATTAAAATAAAGTTTAAATTACTGATTTTCTAGCGTGACCCATGCCGAGATCATTTTGACAAATCCCAACTGCTTAAGAAGGGTGGGATGAAATAGATGACCACTACGAATCTGCGTGCAGTAGGCTCAAAGTGGAACCAATAAACGGAAGTGATATTTGGTGACGATACATAATGGAATCGAAATGGATTATGTAACTGACATTTTCAGTAAGTAATACTGTACCACGAATGAATCAATCCGATTGATTCAACAGGCAACATATTGACAAATAATAAACCACGGCTCTCTTAGTGACCACTCCTGAAACTG